TCGAAACTACTAGAACACGTTTGTTATGGTAAACAGGACAAGGTTCAATACCTCATCTTGGCCTAAGCATGCGTTTGTTTGCCCGAATTTCAGCATGGAATATTATATTCGGCCNATTCCCCCCGATAAAGTGATTCTTGCTGAGGGGTATGATAAATCAAGTATGCATATAGTACATAATTGTTAAATGTTGAAATAGTCCACTATATTACCCCAAAAGTTTATTACCCTTCATTAGGTTGAAATTTACAACCTAAAACCATAAAGGCCACTGATTAATGAGTGGTATGTAGATTCCGAAGCACAGAGCCCCGATATTCTCCACACGTTCCTAAACATCTAAATCAAAGTGAAAATCTGTGTAAACAAGGGAAAACCTCAGTGCAATTACGAATTTCATTTGCAACTTTGGCATTAGAATAATTGTAAAAACATAGGGTTACAAAGTCTTTCCTCACTAGAGTCATTTTAAAAATAATAATGCAATTTGTAGAGAAGTATTTTTAATAATTTTTTTAACTAACACCCGTATATTATATTATATTGGTACCATGATGAATGATAATACACTTTAACATAATGTTTGTTTTAAATAAGTTGTAGCATGGATATAATTGAAATTTGTAGGGCCGATTGAAAGGACACAAAAATAATTGACAGCAATTTTTCTTTTTTCAACTTATATAGAGTGTTAATGACATTTTTTGTTAATAAACGAAATATTTTCTTTAGCACGGGTTTTGTTTTCTTTTGGAACGTCAAATCAACAATGGGTTAGATGCAGTATGGCCGTATGGGGGTAGAAAGTTTAGATGTGGCCAAGCACCAATTCCTGCAAAGGTTCTATTTTGGAATTGGTGGTTCAAGTTTGCCATTTTGGTGAGCCGAAACTAGCTTGGGAAAGACTAAGGTCTGATTCAATGAACTCGCGATCTTAGTTCAGATCGAAAAATTTTAAAAGAAATCAAAAAATAATAAAAAAATAAAAATAAATTTTTAAATAGAATTTCAGCGTCGAATCGTCGATTACGGTTTCAGTTCCCATTTAGAACTAACCA